ACTACATAGCTCTCTCACCTCCCATCGCGCGAGCTCGGACACCAGGTGGACGCCGGCGGGGATGAGCAGTCCCAGGCTGGAGAAGAGCACGGCGCCCATGAGCGCGATCACGAGCTCGAGGTTCGGCACGGCGATGGCGACGAGCAGCGACAGCGTCACCAGGGTCATGCGCATGCCGATCTGACGAGAAAGAGAGCACACCGAACGCGTCAGGCAAGGTCCTTTACCGTGGTTTCCAGAAATCAGTTTTCCTTTCGAGTTCATTTTTTTTGTTGTGCTGCTTTACCTGCGCCCAGTTCCGCAGGCTGGGCGTGGACACGCGGGACTCGATGATGGGAACGACCAGCTCGAACACGACGTAGAACTGCAGCGGGTGGGTGAGGGTGATGGCGGCCGCCAGCAGGGCCTTCACGACCTGCGCGGGGCTGAAAGGAAAGGGGAGGTTGCAGATCACACCTAAGGATTTTGAGGTCCGATATTTTCCCCAGAAAAATGTAAAAAGTTTCGAAGAAAAAGAAAATCCCTGACATTGCCACGACGGCCACCTCGCTCGGCTGCTGATAAGATATTATATGTGGCGGGCAATACTCACATTAGGTCGGAATCTAGATTGAGTGTAATGCTTCCCAGGACGGCCTCCCCGAACTTGAGGTAGCCCAGGGCGCCGATGGTCGTGAAGATGGCCACGACGAAGGCCATGGCCCGCGAGGCGATGCCGTTCCAGCCGCCGAGGCGCCCGGGGTTGCGCATCGTGTTCTCGACGGGCATGACCGTGCCGATGCCCTCCATGGAGTAGATGGCCGTGCTGAAGAAGATGGGCACCCCGATGAGGGTGGGCGCCATGCTGACGCGGCTCAGGCCGGGCTGCTCGTCCAGCAGGTAGTACAGGGTGATGGCGAAGCCCACCACGATGCACGCGTTGGCCAGCACCGAGCACGGCACCAGCTGTCGCATTTGTCGCACCTGTGCCCGGCAGACGAGAGGAGGGAAGCGTCATGTACACGTGATCACGTTTTGTGTGTTGTGTCGAGTGGCGTTTCAGCCGGCGCAGTTCAACAACACTGGGAGAAATGTTTCATTGCAGCCATCATAATGTTGATGCTCACGATCAAATTTCGTTCCATCCGTCCCGGTTTAGTCATAGGCATCAAAATTTTAGTTCATGTATAAACAAAAGTTTAGTTGCTGTAATTAAAAGTTAAGTTGCTGTGACTAAAAATTGATGCCCATGACTAATTCGACCGATCGAACAATTTTTGATGGCTGCAACGAAACATCTCTCACAGTGAAGACGCTCAAGCTGTGCCGAAAAACTTACCTGGCCGAGCGGTATGAGCGGCAAGGCGAGGATGGCGATGTAAACGCGTCCGTCCAGCACCGAATCACCCGTCCACTGCTCCACCAGCTGCGTATAGGACAGAGAGAGTCAGAAGGGCTGCCTACCTCTCACGGGGGGACCGGGGCAGGGGGCTGGACCTCGCGAGAACATCGCGGGACACGAACAAACCCGTTAATTGAGATACTTTGTTAATGTTTTATAATAATTTTTTTTTAATATCAGGTACTGATCTTGTAATGTTTGTTCGGTGATAAGCGGCTAGCCCTATCAGCACTCGAGCAAATATCGGAACTTTTCCGCCAGCCCACTCAAAAAGAGGAAGCGGCGCGCCGTCTCGACGAGGAGATGACTTCCCTCTTTCCGAACACAAAGCGGGTGTCACTTTTCCCGCCTTCAATGAATACTGAGTCACTACACGTAGCTATGACGAATACAAAAAGAAATATAAATGCAAAATCACAGAAGTTTCGCACGAAAGCCTATCGCGCTGCATCCGCGCTGCTTGCTGTCGTGTCAGTCGCAAAAGCCCCAAAAGCACAATACGTGTCCACCGCTGAATGCGCGCAACGCAACAGCGCATCGTCCCAGGCAGGACACGTGGACGCGGCACGGGGACGGCTCGGGTCACGTCCCGAGTCGGGCTCCTCACTGGCCCTCCACAAAGGAGGGCGGGCCTCGGCGCAGGCTCATTGTGTGGACGAGGACTCGCTCTTGCTCTCGTTGTCGAGCGCGGAGTAGACGCCCGCGCACGTGGTGAGCAGGGACAGCAGCAGCAGCAGTCCGTCCTTGGCCACGGTGAGCACCCGGCGAGCAGGCACCGCGCGCCCGGGCTGCTCCAGCTTGTCGTCCTGGGCAAAGACACCCGCGGCGTCAGTCGGAGCACCATCGACATCGCTCACAAGGGGACTTAGGCAAGTGTA